ACACACACACACACACACACACACACACACACACACACACACACACACACCATAAGTAAGTTCACCTCAACCTTTTTTTTTGAACTTCTCTTTTGGCAACATTCTTACCTGTATGTTGATGACGAAGAAGAACTCGGGTGCCCCACGAGCGGCATATTTCTGTACAATTTCGATTCAAACTTGCGTAAAAAATTACCGACCGATAAAATTCGTGTCAAATTTAGAAAAAAAATGTAGATGCACCGAACCTGAACGATGCTACCATATCGACCAGCAAGATCATCTTCTCGCTTGTCGGATCTCAGCCAATCAGCACCAACCATTTGCAGTAAAGTGCCTTTTGCCTTAACCTAATAAAAACAAATTCCTTACTTAGTAAATAAGGTTAAAAATAACTCAATAGAGTTGTCATGTTCTCGTATGCCGAATGTAGTCCCGATTGATCAAATGCCATTGATAGAATTAATAAATATTAGTTCCGAGCAAAAAAAGGGAAAAACCTTTAGATTGTCGACTAGATAATTATCACCACGGATAAGGAACAAGGAAGGATCAGACGCGGACCAGGTGCACGGTATGTTAGAAGTCGAGTCTTTTGGAAGCGTGGAGCCATAATTCGGTGACAAGCTTCCTTCCCGAGATATCTCTTGGAAATCCATGTAACCTTTCTTTTGGACTACAAAAAAATTATTATTGTGATTATTTTTTTTTACTATAATAGAAATGTTTATATGTCCGAAAAATTTTACGATGTTGCTGCATGCAATTAACCTCCTGCAAAATCGTGCAATTTCTTGACGAATATGGCGGCGGAAGACAATTTCGGCTGGTAGGCTTCCTGCATATTTGGTATAAAAAAATCATGTTATCGGCCGCGTAAATTTTGATCACGTTGTTATATATTTGTCGAAAATAAGGATGCTTATTACAAAAAGATACAGTTAAAACCTCGAAGGTTTGAGTTAGTTTTACATATTACACAATGAGGAGCAAAGTACTTTGACATTAACGTAGAGTCCATACACTTGCAGCAAAATATTTGTGTCAATTTAAGTGACTTTTCCATTAGAAAACATAGAACTAAAACTAATTTTTTCAACCAAAATCAAAAGAAAAAAAAGAAGAAGCAAAAAAACGAAAATATTACCGCGTAACCATACTCGGCACTAGAGCTTCCATTCCACTCGCTGTCCAAGCCCTCGTCATCCAACGGCTCGGGCACGTCAAAGAATTCATCGGCCGCATCACTGAGTGCCATGAGGCTCGAGCCAGTCGAGTGCTGCCTGAAAACGGTCAAATCCTCACTAGGCTCGTTTTGTAACCTCTTGAAACTGACCTGAGTCTTGATCGTCTCCTTCTTATTCTCTGGGACACCAATGTCCCCCGATAAATACTCGTGACTGTTGGTAATTCCCGATTTTGCCCTGAACAGCTCTCTCAAGGCTGCCGGAAAAAACAAAAATAAAATTATCGATCGATCTACGGTTTAGGATAATTCGAGCGGGAAGACCAATAAAAATAAACAATAAAACACAAAGTAGTTAACCTGCGACTTTGCCGAGCATACGAATAGTTATGGATCTTGAGGAAGCTTTCTTGATGTAGGATTTCCATAGCTTCCAATCGACGGCTAGCATGTGTTTTATTACACATTCTTTGCCTTGTTGAATTGGGGTAATCAGATAACCACCACCTGCTTAGCCGTGCAATGCATGAAATTGATGACTATCGACACAAAAACAGAGTGATTCGAAGATAACAAAGTAAGTCGGATTGTATAAAGGTGTAATAAAACTAAAAAAAAAAGAACTAATTTCGACACATATAAAGTATTACAGCATGAAGAGATTCTCATTTGAACCATTGCATTCTGAAAACTACAACACATTAAGATAAAAACTATACGTAAAATGTATAACAAAGTTCATTACTCTTCTCATTTCCACCTGCAGAAAATGATAAGTTGAATATAATCCCGAGCAGCAAATTAAGAGCATTTCATAATCTAAAATCAAAGCGTACATTACTTTTAAGGCACACACGAACATATCCGTCTTGGGGTGGACATTTTATGTGGAACACCGAATGGTAAAGAATCACTGTAAAATATCCAAAACAATACAACATTGAATGAGATAGAAAAGTTGTAACACAATCTAATAATAATAAAAAAAAAAAAAAAAA